AAAAAAAAAAAAAAAATAGCAGCGGTTGCCTGGACTGGACTGGACTCGACTGGTGTGGACGGGAACTGGGACTTGCACTGGCTCTGGCTCTGGCTAGCTGGTTGTGGTTACAATTTGGAGCAGCGGCCGGTCCCGTCTAGTTTTGATGAAATTGCTCGAAATAATAGGGTGAAAATACCTCGACTGCCGCCTTCCTCGGCTCGGGCGTTTTTCACAGTGCTCTGCGCCTTTTAACTCTTTCGCGCTTTGGCTCGGTTGCCTCTGTTGGCCTGTGTGAAAGACCAAAGGCGTCACCAATTCAGCCAGCTCCATGGAGCTGCAGCTCGCGTGCTAACAACAACGAGAGTCAAAAGCAGTTGGCACAAAAGTTTCAGTTCAACCAGAGCGCCCAAAACACGCACAGAGACCAAAGCGGGCGCTGCTGGAGTTTCGGCTTGGGGTTTTTAGATAAAGCTATGCTAAAGGTGTCGAAGATTAAACACTCTCCAAAGCACTTTTTATCATATTAAAATATGCAGAGATTCAAGCATGATGAGACAGGCTTAAATCTAAGCTGTCAGATTAGTATTCAGAATACAATGTGACAATCGAATATAGCTAGCTTTCTAACCCAGTCTTTAAACAGATCTACAATATAATAATTATACATATATAAATCAAATTTAAGCTGTCTTAAAGCTTCTCTTTACTCTGTTAGAGTATTAATATATAGCTCAAAAAGCGGGCCAAACAGAGAAATAGTGAGAGAGAATTGGGCGAAAAAAAAGAGAAAAATGTTTGTGCGGCTGCAGTGAAAGATTTGTGGTGCTGCGGTTTTCGGCTTTTGGGTCTGTGTGAAATTGGATCTGTGCTGTTGTTGCTGCCTGAAGTTTGACTGGCGAAATTGCAAAACAAAGCTGAGATTTCTATGTGGTTTGAATATGATTTGAATATAAAGGCATATTTGCCATCAAAGCCAGTCAGGCCAACCAGCCAGCCAGCCACGCCAATGGCTTTTGTGGAATGCGTGTGTTAACAAGTGCATTTATCTGCAATTGGATGGAAATGGGGGTATTATTATGCCAGTCTAAACCAAAACTAAACAAGCTGAAGTATGAACAGCTCTCGCTCTCTCTCTCTCTCTTATTCTCTCTCTTTCTATAAAACTTCTTATGAAATATGCAAAGCAGCTTTTGCCCGACTACAGCATTCCTTCATTATCCGCTAGCAGACTACCTGAACCATTTTCATTTTGCTGCGAAGAACTTTAACGTGCTGCGCCTTCGGCCCCCTCCCCCGCCCTGGCTGGCTGACCAGCTCTTACAAATCAATTACTTTAATCAATTTTTAACACGTTCGCGTCTGTGCACCCCAGAGAGACGTTGGATATTTTTTCTCATCTTTTTTTTCTGTTCGCTCATTTATGCTGAAGTAATTTTGCTGTTAAATTTTTAATTATAAAGATTAAATGCGGGCATGGCGACGAGACGACTAACTACATAACCTGCCGCAACAAACTTGAAATAATATTCAAGAATTTTTATTGAAATAATAGCTGCGATGCAGGCAGGCCAGGTAATGTGCGCGAGAAACAGACAAAGGGAGTGCGAGGGAGGGAGTGAACAGACCCAGACCCAGACATCACTCTACCCAGAACGAGGCGCAGCAGTTCGTCAGCTCACATCAAAGGCGGAACGTACGTCTGGGACGCGAAACTGAACTGAACCTGGTCGCTCGTCTCCTCTAATGGGGGCGACGACAGCCTGTCATCGTTTCAAAGTTCTCTTTCAGACTCGCCGTTTTCTAATTGAAATGTTCAGCACCATATTTCTGCGCATTACCACCTGCTGCTGCTGGCACAGAGGAAGCCGCCCAGTCGCCCAGTTGCCCATTCCCTTTTCTTTTTTTTCTGCAGCTCTCTGCCCAGCCTGACTGCATAATGCAGCGAAACAGCTTGGCTAAATAGTTCACTGGCTGGCCTCGTAAATTGCAAAAACCAAACCGCAAGAACAATGCACTGCACTGCACGCCACGGCACTGCACTGACCATCATCGAGCGACCTGAGCAGCACCTCAGCCATCATCGTCATTATCAACGCCAAGTTGAGCGCATGATAAAAGGCAACCGAGAGAGAGCGACTAGCAACTCGATGCGATTACAGCTTTTTGTTGTTTTTACTCCTCTTTTTTTGTTTTTTGCTTACTGGCAACACTTTGGCATTTTTCCATTCGCCTTACAGAAGAAATTTGAAGCTTGATTTTGACCATTTTATGATGCCCTGTAATTGGAATTCGAGCTGAAGCACTCAGGATTTGATAAAGATATTAAAAATATGTTTTCAGACTTAACTTCTCTTATATACTTTGATTCAGTTGTCATATTTACTATGTTTAGCATTACAGGGTATATCCTCTGTTCATTCATTTCTTCTGATTGTAATATATAATAAGTAAAAGATTTGTTGAAAAATCTATTTCTTTCAAGAATTGGCCTTACCTTTATAACTAGTTGCAGCTATAATTTTTATTTAAAATTACAAGATATGAACTACAAAAGTCAGAGATTTAACTTTTAGTATTTTTTCGGTATTTTTTGGGTATACTTCGGTGTCTTGTGCTCTCGTCCGAAACCTTATAACTCCATGGCTATTTTTGAATGCAAACTGATTCTAAGCATAAATACGCGTCTAACAAGGCATTCCACTCGAAAATCGGACGAAAAGTCCAC